TTTCTTTGTATTCTCAACATCCTCCTGTAGAACCACGCACATTTTGCCTCTAGTCATCTCTTCATCTGGTTGTCCAGCATTCACTGCCATAGAGGAGGATTAATATTCCATATCAGTTCAGCACTCTTTTCATTTTATTCTCAATATCCTCCTGTAGAAGCGCGCACATTTTGCCTCCAGTCATCTCTTCATCTGATTGTCAATCATTCGCTGCCAAAGAGGAGGATTGATATTCTATATTAGTTCAGCGCTCTTTTCTTTTTATTCTCAATATTCTCCTGTAGAACCACTCACATGTTGCCTCTAGTCTTCTCTTCATCTGATTGTTCAACATTCACTGCCATAAAGGAGGATTAGTATTCCATATGAGTTCAGCACTCTTTTCTTTGTATTCTCAACATCCTCCTGTAGAATCACGCACCTTTTGCCTCTAGTCTTCACTTCATCTGATTATTCAGCATTCACTGCTATAGAGGAGGATTGATATTCCATATCAGTTCAGCACTCTTTTCTTTGTATCCTCAACATCCTTCTGTAGATCCACCTATGATTTGACTCTAATCGTCTCTTCATCTGATTGTCCAGCCTTTACTGCCATTGATTGATGTTACATAAAAGTTCAGCACTCTTCTTTGTTTCTAACTTTTTTTTTCCTGTTTCTTAATACTTTGCTTGGCTTTTGGAAAGCATCTTTTGCTTTTGCGTTGCGCCTTCGAAATTTGATGTCCAATTTTTACTACTATCCGAAATTTCATATTGATCATTTTTTTTCTCTACTTCTCTTTAAATATTTGCCCTTATCACTGATTTGCTTTATTCTACGTACTAAGGAGAAACCTGTCTGCTTTTTTTTTTTTTTTTTTTTTTTTGACAGACGGGTTGCCTCATTAGATTCTAGTCCGTCTGACACCGCCTTCGTTTTCGCTTATCTGCAAACGCCCCCACCAATCTTCCCCTTCGCCTCACTCTACCTGAACTATCTTCTCAGACTGAAGATCTTATTGAAAATAAAAGTTACGGGTGGGTTGGGTACAGGGGTGAGGTATTTAGAGAGGAAGGGTGCCAATGTGAATGAGGGGTGGATTCAGAGGCGGTTGCGACAAGAAGGTGGGGATTTGGTCCAGAATGGTGGGTGGCAGGGAAGGGATACCAAGAACAACAACTTGTCGATTTGCTTGTCATGAATTACACGGGCAATAACAACCCACTCCCGGCACGAGAGGATCACGTGCTGTGAAGGGAAATAATTGGGGACGGAAAAAAATGGAAGAGGATTTTTCACAGCGTTGCTGATATTAAAAACTAGATCGAAAAACTATTGTTCTATATATATTTGTTTACTAGAAATACTCGACGAGATATCACGAGACATGAGCAGTGGAACGAGAACAGTCTATCCCCGGAGATTAAATAAAGGGTTCAGTGAAGAATTCTTTGTAGATTACCTAGATCGATATACACCTGAGGAAGACTGGAGGGCGGGCAATAACTGAATACTAAATGAAAATAAGAATAAGGCGAGATATCACGAGACATGAGCAGTGGAACGAGAACAGTCTATCCCCGTAGATTAAATAAAGGGTTCAGAATTCCTTGTAGATTACCTAGATCGATATACACCTGAGGAAGGCTGGAGGGTGAGCAATAACTGAATACTAAATGAAAATAAGAACAAGGCGAGATATCACGAGACATGAGCAGTGGAACGAGAACAGTCTATCCCCGTAGATTAAATAAAGGGTTTAGTTCAGAATTCCTTGTAGATTACCTAGATCGATATACACCTGAGGAAGACTGGAAGGCGGGCAATAACTGAATACTAAATGAAAATAAGAACAAGGCGAGATATCACGAGACATGAGCAATGAAACGAGAACAGTCTATCCCCGTAGATTAAATAAAGGGTTCAGCTCAGAATTCCTGAGGAAGGAATTACGTCTTTGTATTATCCCAACTCAAGGAAATGGTTTGAGTATATACATATTTCTTACTCAGCCTATAAAGATAGACTATTAAAAGCCACGAATTCGAATGCTGATTTAGAATGGTGAGTCAAACTCGACTTTTTGTAAGTTCGACTCAGCATTATCTATTCTTGTTGCGTTTTGTCAGTAGTTTTCAGTCTTGGACAGTTAAGCTCAGAAAAATGGCGGTAGCCAGTTTAGATGTAGGGAAGTCTGTCTTTCAAACCGCGGGGAAGGCAAGAGGGAATCCCTCCACTATATCTCCTAAAAATCATGAATCGATCTCTACCCCACTCTTCCATCGCCTATGAATTAAATATAAGGGTAGACTGAGCTATCTAGCTTTGGGTGGTAGCCAGTTTATAGAAGCAATAAATCCTGAGTTCCAAACCTTGGAAATGACAACAGGAAATCACTCCACTATATTTCCAAAGAAATGGCGGCGACTCACAGATAGTATATATGTATAGCTGGCCATTCATATTCGAGGATACCCGTCAATTTGTACGTCTAGACATGGCTAGACATGTTTCTCGAGCCTTGGCTGTCAGCCAGCCTAGGAGGACAACTCTGAATTGAAAACCATCGGGAAAGCATCACGTTATCGCATAATCTTTCCCATGAAATCATGGTAATTAATAATCAATGAAGAAAAGGAATCTCATTGGTTTGGTTTGGGATTACGGCATATTAACCTCAATAGGTTATTTAATGCCGACAATATTTTTATTGCTGGTAATATTTTTTTTCCCAAAAATGTATTGCTAGTAATATTTTTTTCAAAAAATGCATTGCTGGTAATTTTTTCTTTCAAAAATATATTGCTGGTAATATTTTTTCCAAAAAAGTATTGCTGGTAATATATTTTTCAAAAATGGATTACTGGTAATATTTTTTTTTTCAAAAACGTATTGCTGGTAATAATTTTAAAAAAATGGATTGCTGGTAATAGTTTTTTTTTCAAAAATGGATTGGTGGTAATAATTTTTTTTTTTTTTCAAAAATGGATTGCTGGCAATATTTTTTTTTTTTCAAAAACGTATTGCTGGTTATAATTTTTTTTTCAAAAATGGATCGCTGGTGATAATTTTTTTCAAAAATGGATCGCTGGTAATAATTTTTTTCAAAAACGTATTGCTGGTAATAATTTTTTTTTTCAAAAATGGATCGCTGGTAATAATTTTTTCAAAAATGGATCGCTGGTAATAATTTTTTCAAAAATAGATCGATCGCTGGTAATATTTTTTTTCAAAAACGTATTGCTGGTAATAATTTTTTTTTTTTTAAATGGATCGCTGGTAATATTTTCTTTTAAAATTGGATCGCTGGTAATAATTTTTTTTCAAAAATGGATTGCTGGCAATAATTTTTTTTTTTCAAAAACGTATTGCTGGTAATAATTTTTTTTGCAAAAACCGATTGCTGGTAAAAAAATTATTTTTAAAAATTGATTGCTGGTAATAAATTTTTCAAAAAATATAGCTGGTTTTAAAACCTATCTTTATACTTTCGTAATGTTTTGATCCCTTTTGCGGGGTTAACTATTTACTCATAGCTGGGACCCTGACAGGCGTTACCAATTTAGGCTAGGATGGACCTGGAAACACCAACAATTAACAGGTGGTTCCATGCTCTTCGAGACCTCCTGATCGAAGTCCTTGCTATCGGATGTAGTTTATTGTCATCCTCAAGACGGAAAGGAATCTGTGGAGAGCCATGATCGCGTACACCCTGAAGAGATATGACATTTTAATTTTTGGTTTAAATAATAGCGTAGATTGGGTTCTGAGGTTTTAATCTAGGAAGGAAATTCCGAGTTCAAAATCCTGACGAAGGCAATGGGAAACCCGCCCGCTGTCTTTCTTACAATGTGATTTCACTTCACAAAAAAAAAAGTAACTTGTAAAGCGTGATAGTCATCAACATCCTGAAGAGACACGGCTTTTTTAACATTTGACTTAAATATCAGGTTAGACTGACCTTTATTTGAATTGACCTTTCGAGCCTTGGTTGCTAACCAGTATAGAAGAAGGACAATACTGAATTTCAAACCACGGGTGGAGAAGAGAAAACCACTCCACTATCTTTCCTAATGTCATGTCACTGAAGATATATTGCATACTAAACAGGACAGAAAGCAGGGAGAGTGGACTCGGGCCTAAATTTGAATTCGGTTTGACGATTTTTTTTTCCGACGCGATAGCAGTTAGTGGCAAACGAAAATGATATATACATATAGATAGATAGATAGATATTATAATATTAGTGGTCAATCAATATATATATATATATATATATATATATATATATAGAGAGAGAGAGAGAGAGAGAGAGAGTCTATTTATTTTAAGTTTGTTTCTATTTATTTTAAGTTCCTTTATATATATATATATATATATATATATTTTATATAATTAAATTCCCAACATTCTGAAGAGAAACGGCTTATTTAACATTTGACTTAAATATCTGGTTAGATTGACCTTTATTTGAATTGACCTTTCGAGCCTTGGTTGCTACCCAGTATAGAAGAAGGACAATACTGAATTTCAAACCACAGGGAGAGAAGAGAAAACCACTCCACTATCTTTCCCAATGTCATGTCACTTTGCAGGTAATAAAAGGAAAAGGAAATTGTGGAGAGCCATGATCCTCTATACCCTAAAAGAAGATGTTATGATACCAAATGGTTTAAATTACTGTGCAGTTCTGGCTTTCAAACTCTGAATGGAGATCAATATAAGAGAAGGAAAACTCAAAATTCGAAATTGTGGCGATAGTAACATGAATTATCGTCTTCTCTTTCCCACCAATTCATGTCAGTTAGCCGTAATAAAGACCTCTGCGGACAATAATGATCACCTACTTCCTGTAGAGGGCGGCATTTAAAAAAATGTTTGTCAATAAAAAATAAGACAGGTCGTGGTACAATTTAGCTTGTTGTATTAGGAGTATGAATATTTTTATTTAAATGTCAGTTTAAGTTGTAAGGAGGGTAAAAAAAAAATCATTCATCAACTGTAGACTCATTCAAATATGAAATTGACTATCACGATTAAACCACGCACTTGCTTTCCGAATGTTTTCTTTTCTTTCCTTCTCTTCCACTCCCTCCCCCTCTTCTCTCTTTCTTTCTTACTTTCCTTTGTTTTCTTTCTTCATTTTGCCTTCAACACCCACTCGATTATATTTTCGAATGAAAAAATACTTTGCCAATGTTAAATTCAATCCATACTATGCTATACTGTAGTCAAGGCTAGCAATGCGTGTAACACGTTTCCACAATTATCGCTATCAGTCTATACCTCTGAAATGAGGTATCATTATTAATTACATTATTTACATTAACAGACTGATATCCCCACCTTCATTGCCATATTCACAACGTTTCGGCCGTTGTACGCTCCAACCTTCTTCAGGGCCTGTCTATATTTCCGAGATTTACACTATTTACATCGTTCGGACTGTTTTCCTCATCTTTATTGCCATATTCACGACGTTTTAGCAGTTCTACGTTCCAGCCTTCTTCAGGTGATCGGAATTTCGATCCGAACCCTTTATTTCGTCTACCAGAGTAGATTGTTCTAGTTCCACGTGCCATGTCTCTTCCGGATGTTTTAACTCTCTATGATTTTGGTTCACCACTGCTGTAGCCTAGCATTGAACTCACAACTCTTTGGGCCTAGTCACTGGCCCATGTGTCCTTGAGGACCTCAGTGTATGAATTGGCCTAGTGGATAAAGGCGTTGGTTAGATGCAGTGACTATACTCAAGGAGTTGCATGTTCAATACGAGCCTACAGCAGTGGTCAACCAAGAACATAGAGGGTTGAGTTAAAGGGAAATAACTGAGACACCCGGACGAGACACAGCACATGGAACTAGAACAATGTACCCCGGCGTACGAAATAAAGGGTTCGATTCGAAATACCGATCACCCGAAGAAGGACGGAGCATACAAGTGCCGAAACGTCGTGAATATGGCAATAAAACGTGAGGAAAACAGTCCGAACGATTATCGCAACTCGCTTCTACGTCAACGACTGTGGCGTACTAGTGACGAGATATAATGCATACTAAACAGAAAGCAGGGAGAATGGACTCGGGCCTAAATTTGAATTCGGTTTGACGATTTCTTTTCCGACGCGATAGCAGTTAGTGGCAAACGAAAAGGATATATATATATATATATATATATATATATATATATATATATATAGAGAGAGAGAGAGAGAGAGAGAGAGAGAGGGAGAGAAGAAAGTTTGTCTATTTATTTTAAGTTCCTTTCATATTGTCTGATAAGCTTAATAACATTATCATTGAAAGACGAAAAGAAATCACCATATTGATATATGTTTTAATTCAATCTTCCAAGCTTTCGGTTTACATAAGCCATGATCAAATATGACACGCAGACGAAACTACAATAATAGTCCGCCTTTTGCTGCTTGAATAGTTCAAAGTAACGACAAATTCGTATTTAATGAAACATGCACTAATGAAAATTGCTGCCGAAATATACACTATATATATATATATATATATATATATAATATATATATATATAAAATTCCCAAGAGGATAGAATCCAGATAGAATCCAGGTAGAATCCAATGTCCAAGACAGAGTAAGAATATAATATAAACGGCTCAAACACTAATATTCCATGGTTATAATTTATCACATTGAATCAAATTACGATACAATTCATTTGTGGGTCTGCTGAATTGCATCGTGATTAAGATTCCAATGTAATAAATTATAACCAAGGAATATTAGGTTTCGGCCTTATATATATATATATATATATATATATATATATATATATATATATATATATATATATATATATATAACGTGACTTGACCTCTCGGCTACGTAGAATCACCTGATCAAACAAAACCCGAGTAGTGCTTTTGAAACATATATTCTCAATTTTCGAAATATATATCTTGCCTGTTTCGTATCCTAACGACAATTCTTATGAAAACTTAGACAATTCTTTTAGGAACTAATTAAATCCGACATATTTTAAATTTATTCGTTTAAACGTTATTTTTAATGGATACTCATATTTAAGCAGACGACCTGTTTTTTATTTATTCATTAAGCAATATATTTATTTGTTTCACTCTACCCGTCTGAATATCCCTGAAATCTTAAGAAAATATACACCTGCGGGCGTATATATATATATATATATATATATATATATATATATATATATATATATATATATATATATATATATATATAGTCCCACATGGCCTTTTCATGTATCGCAGTTCATCAGTGTGGCTAGATATCCATTTGCTTCAAGCCGGGATCGAACCCCTCCCCTAATCTAAGAGAAATTTTTACGTATTGTATACGGATGTTAACAAACACCAGCTGCCAAACAGAAAGAGAGAGAGAGAGAGAGAGAATGATATATATATATATATATATATATATATATATATATATATATATATATGTGTGTGTGTGTGTGTGTGTGTGTGTGTGTTATATATGAGTATTTTATTCATAGTACGCACAAATACATATATATATATATATATATATATATATATATATATATATATATATATATATATATATATATATATATATATATGTGTGTGTGTGTGTGTGTGTGTGTGTGTGTGTGTGAAAATATATAGAAAATAGGAAAGAACTCGTTAGGTAAATAATCCAAAGTTCTTTAGTATTTTTTGTTATTATTTTTAAAAATAGTGCTCGATACAAAAGTAGAGCATAAATATAATTATTATTTAAAATATGATTCCAACTCGCTTTGGAATCATATTTTAAATAAAAATATATATATATATATATATATATATATATATATATATATATATATGAGATACCTGGCAGGATATTTTTTGTTGTTCAACACCCACAGGGACCGCCTGTGGTTTATGCTTCATATGCTGACCGGAAGTTACAGTTTCTGGGAGAGAATGCATAATATGGCGACCTGAACAAGGCCAGTCGGTTCAATATCTCGGTCA